ACATCTGTAACTGACATGATTATAACGGATTATTTCCTTGTGCATATTTGGATAACTTTCAAAATTAGTATAATGATCTCATCTTTGCAGATTTAAGCGTTACTCATTCTTAAATTACAAACAATTTATGAATAAATTTTATTAATACGTTTCTATTTTAATGTTTTTGCAAAAAACCTTGAAGATAAAATTTAATTTCTATTTTTGCAAATATGGATGTTAATCAAACTACCCCTTGTGAGCTTTGTCACGACTTTTAGCCCATCGTCCATTGTAAGCTTTTTAAAATCATCCCCTAGAAACAACTTTTACAAAAAGAATTCAAAACTGAATCGTTACATCGTATCACCATTATAGATGTGAAGTTTCAAAATTATATTCAATGTTTCTGTCGATAAACAGCAAAGGTGTGAAATCATTAAAAAAATACTTCAATTAAAAAGTTCTTATTTTGGGTCTTACATCCTACAAACGTTTTTGGGTCCTTAAAGCTCTTCAACTTCGTGGCAGACTACTGGGCTACTAGGAAACATCCACCAGCAATGGCATCGACACATTGGTTGTAAATAAACTCATCATATATACAAGGATAAAATTTTGTACGCCAGATTCGCGTTTCGTCTACAAAATACTCATCAGTAACGTTCGAATAAAAAAAGTTAACGGTTTTGATATAGTACATTATTTCATATTCATTTGAGTATATACACAGCGTTTAGTTTTTACACATATGAAATCGAATATTTCACAGATCTACTTTTATTTCCAGCATAAACAGGTTTATTATCTTTGACAATTTACCATTTTGGTATGCTATCTGAGATATATCTTCAAGTTTTTGTTATTAATTGTTGTGTTTGTAAAACCAAATAAAAGCATTGTTTTGCGTTTTTATTTTTATTTTTTATATCTTCCCAAACTTAATCTATTGTCAAACATGCTCTGAAGTTTAAAATATTGGTTTCACTTAGCATTCAGGGGAGGATTTGTGATTTCAGCCATGAATGAATGGAAATGAGTTCTGCGCATACGTGACAAGTTAAGAGACTGTTAAGTTAAGAAACATTACACCGAAAAAATTATTCCCAAATTTATTCTGGAGGACGAGTCTGAGATAACAGATCCAAGTAATATTAGAAATGAACAAACGCAATTTTATATAAAATCATATACTAGTTCTAATCCATTGTTACTTGAAACTCACAGGGACACATTTCTTCAACATGACAACCCTTTTATTATTAAATCTAATGAGGAAGAAGTGGGTCGCTGTGATGGACCTTTAACGATGCAGGAATGTCTGTCTTCTCTTAAACATATGAAGAATTCCAAATCACCTGGTATAGGTAGATTCACTGTTGAGCTTTTAATTATAAAAACATTTGGAATTATACTAAGTTACCACTGGTAAGATGTCAAAATGAGGCCTTAGAATATGGAAAGTTCTCTATCACACAAAGACAGGGACTCATTACTTGTATACCAAAAAGTAAAATCACAAAAATACTGAACTCAAAATACTGAAAATTCAAAAAGGAAAGTCCCTAATCAAATGGCAAAATCAAAAGCTCAAACACATCAAACGAACGGATAACAACTGTCATATTCCTGACTTGGTACAGGCATTTTCTTACTTTTAGTCAATTTTGAAAAAGCTTTCGACACAGTCGAATGGTCTTTTATATTAGAGGCATATTTTTTAGAATTTTTTTCCTTGAAAAGGGGGGTCCGTCAAGGGGATCTCAGGCGGAAACCCAGTTGAAATTAAACAAAAGAAATGGAACTCTTTGTTAGAGAAGATAAAAGGGCGAAGTTGGTAAATTTGAATTGTTTACATCTGTTTCTATGGGCTTTAAAAGTTTAATAAATGTGCCTAATTTAGGATTTTATGCATGTTACGTATGTGTTTTACTTAAATAATTAAATTGAGCTTCAAGATACTTGTAAACTTGTAAATTATAGACAAAATTTCACAAAACAGTCGATTGTGGTAGGTGCAAATTCTCGTGGATCTTTTTTTATGCATAAGCATAAATTCAGCAGAAAAAAATTTCCAAAGGACGATAATCGATTTATCCTTTTAAAGCATCAATTTGCATCTCTGTTCCCGGTGACAGTTTTTTGGGAAAAAATCCCCAAAATGGGCAATTATTTCATCGAAAAGAGAAAGTCGAGTACACCTTTTAAGGTTCAGGCGTGTTTGAGTTGACTATTCTGTCTTGAAAACGTATAAAAGAAAAATATGTGATATATCATCTCGCTTCAGATTCTATTATTTTTATATATTTAGGCTGTAGGTTGATACAAAAACATCAAAAATTTACCGTACTTAAAGGTGAAATATATGGGTCAAGTGAAATACCTTTCGAAAGAGTCAATATGCCGATGAATCTTCCTTAGTCCTGGATGGTGATCAAAATTCCTAAACCAATGATTACATTTGTTTGATAGATATTTAGAATGTGCTGGACTTAGGTATAATGTTGTCAAAACTGAAGCCATATGGATTTGGTAAAAAAAGATAATATGGAAAAGCTTTTGCCAGACAAAAAAAATGTTTGGAACCTTTCTGGGAGAGTCATTGTTAAATAATTGGGCTTACAGAGAACCAACATATATTGGAAGGGTAATAGTTATTAAGACTTTAAAACTTCCAATATTGGTTCAAGTTCTGACCATCCTTTCTAACCCCCAGAAGGGATTCAAAACATATTTTTTCAATTCTTTATGGAGAGGAAAACCAGATAAAGACAAGAGATCAGTGGTAATGTCCAGACACTGTGATGGCGGTCTTAAGATGCTTAATACTTACTTTTGTTGTTATAGTGTAAAAATGTTTTGGCTGTATAAATTATTAGATCCACAAATTTGCTCACCTTGGAAAGTTTTGCTGCTAAGTTATATACAAAAATTTGGGGAAGACAAAATTTTACACTTATGTCAAGATGGATTACTTTATTTAGATAATAAAGTCAATCCCTTTTGGCATGATATCCTGGTAAATTTTTCCAAGTTGCGAAATAATAATACTGATATTCTGGCCCAGTGCATATGGCTGAAAATAAACATCAAAATAGATGGCAAGATGATTTTGAAGTTCAAATGTATATTCTTTATTAGTGATCTGGTGTCAGATAATAATACATTATTCTCATATGGAGAATTTAAAAAAAGTATGATATCTATACCAATTTTGTAGAGTTTTATGATATTATAAGCGCAATTTCAAATAGATGGCAAATATGATAGAAGGTAGTTCTTAATTGGACAATATTGGAAATAAATTGGTAGATTAAGTTAAAAAGGAACCAAAGTTCTTGTAAATTCTATAAATTATTTTTTTGAAGATAATAAAGTATTAGCTTTATCTTCCCTTAATAAATGGGAAATAGATTTGAATATGAAGATTGAATATTGGAATACTATTTACCCCATGCCTTTAATTATAACCAGAAATTCGTATTTACAAAATTTCCATTTTAAGATTAATTGTTCATAGAATTCTACCATGTAATTCATTTTTATTGAAATGTAAATTAAAAGAAACTGAACTATAATAGAATTGAGAATGGAAACGGGGAATGTGTCAAAGAGACAACAACCCGACCAAAGTGCAGAAAACAGCCAATGGCCACCAATGGATCTTCAACACAGCGAATAAAATAGGTTCAAACTTGTATACGGATATAAAGGGGTGTATTATAAATATTGGTTAGATCTCAGCACCTTTCAGCACCTTTGGTGGAATAAGACGGGGGTGTTCGGTATCGACGACACGGTTTTTTTTTTGTATAAGTTGAAATAATGGTAATTAAAATACGAGTTAAATACATAACTAAAAGATTTGAAATTAAAACAGATGGATGAATGAAGGCGATAGTACCTTACCTATGTTCATCTCTCGGAATCGATTAAGAAGAGACAATTTAATGAGAAACAAATACAGAGGAAATCGCATGAACTCCAAAAGGAGCGTGAAGGGTACATCTACATTGTAAGCGTCTCCTAAGATGCGAATTCACACTCCGTCCAAATGTCAAAATCGATAAAATAAACTGGTATCTAAAGATCTAAAACAATAATTAACAAAAATTCCGAACTCGAATGTAATTCCATAAACCCTAACAAAATCATACGCTAGACTATATCAACCAACAGAACGAATGAAAAACTATCATATTCCTGACTTAGTACAGGCATTTTCCGAAGAGAATGGTGGGTTTTGGGTTAAACCTGGTTTTTTTTATAGCTAGCTAAACTTCATTTTGTATGACGGATGTTTATAGTTCCGTTATATTGACAAAATAGGGTGAGCAACCCAAACAGACATAATTCGTTAATGTGACAATAATTGTGATCCAGCAGCCCAAACTGTGTAAATATACATCACAGACATACAACACAACTGACTAAACGAATTCAAACAAATGTCAAATAAATCTGACAAAAATGCCAACAAAAAGTGGTTCATAGTATTCTGACATAGACACCAAAACATTTTTGTAGTTGATAGCACAAACAGCATATTAAAACTTAATATCGTACAAGTATATGCTTTCCCGATAAAGTACAAATTAAGTTATGTATAAGACTGTGAAAGCATATCGCTAATGAGTTGTGATATCGACACATCATATCGTTCAACCAATTCATGACCGAAAAACTTATGTATTGTGGATTTCAGTCGTTCTTCCTCGTAATCCTATAGGGGCAGTTTAGTTGTAAGGAGCACATCCCTATTAAATCAACATTAAATGAAATATGTATTGTGTAAGCATGCACGAGCGTATTAACTAAGATATGTAAACGCCATACAATGGAGCAGAAGTTATGTTACTGCTGTGAAATGGGAAGTTGACAATTGGAAAGTTGAAATCACCACGTTTGTCATAAATTCTAGTTTGAAGTTGTTCATCTCTGTCAATATCGAGGAAAAGATCAAGATATGAAGCAGACCTTCTACTTCCGGTAGTATCCTTAATCTCAAGTTCACAAGGATATATGAGATGTAAGCATTTATTGGCATGTGGGTTATTGAGTGACACAACATCATCAGTTTATCTGAAAGTGAAATGAAAATGACTTCCTTCAATTATGTAGGGATAAATTCCTTATGAAGACGACACATAATAAAACAGTTAATATTGTATTAAGCTTTGAATAACGAATACATTACATTTTTTTATTTGGAACCGTGACTGAAAGACTGAAACGACTTCCTCCCCCTATGTAGGGATAATTTTCTGAGTTTAGAAGACTTGTTAATAGAATTTGTGTTTTCAGATAAACTGTTCCATTTGTCCACTACTGGCACTGAAAAAAAGTATTTTTAAAGGCGTTGTGTTGTAATTCATCTCTTCTTTGATAACTTATATTGGTGAACTCTGCCATTACATCTCTTCTTTGCTAACTTATATTAGTGACCTCTAGTATGACTTATTGACAGTGTAAGAATATTCTGCCGTTACATATTATCTATACAATGGATAGACTTATAAGTTTGTGTCATATCTATCTAGTCTTATTTTCGAGGGTAGGAAGTCTAACAGTCTTTAATCTTTTCACATAATTCTTTGTTTCAACTGAATCAACCATTTGTGTAGCCCTATGTTGAATATTTTCTATTTTACGGACATCCTTTTTAGTTACAATGACCATACAGGAGTCCAATACTCTAATAACGGCCGAACAATACACTTCAATAAGCTTAAAACATATCCTTGTCCGTATAATCAAATGATCTACGTATCGTAGCAAAAGCACGCTGGGATAGTAATATGTTTTTCGAACTTCCTTTCTAATTGTCCTCAATGTCCGAGTTAGTTTTGATATAGGACAATCCTTGTAATTCTTGGCTTGTGTCTTGATCATTGTCTTCGTTATCAGAACAGGAAGGGATTTCTGCCGCTTGGTTGGATTGTACAGGTAATTGGACTGCATTTTTAGTTTCTTGATTAACATCCAGATATGTGCAGTTGATACGCTGATTTGAGCTCAAAGGGCTAGTTTCTGTTTTCTTATTCGTCTCCTCATTTACTGTTGTAGCCGTATTCGTCGACTGTGGCGATTTAAGGACTGTGTCGGAGTATCGACCATTCTCTTTATCGACACATTTCTCAGATGTATCTGTTTGAACCAGCGTTTTAACATCAGTATCATGTTCGTTGTTTCGAGTGGAGATTGAAACCACTGATTTAGTTTTTGTCGAAGAATCTAATGCATCAACAATTTTCACCTCGGTTTGTTCCATTGATCTTGGATACGTAGCGCATGTTTCATCTTCTTTACAGGTAGCACCTTGACTTTCTTTAACATCAGTTGAATGATCAGTTCCAGATTTTGGTTCTGTTAAGCTAGGATCAGAGTCATCTCTATCTGGCAATTGAGAGGACGGGCCTGGCTGCGGTGGTATATTTGGTGGAGAAGCTATTGCATTATTCCTAGGCTGAAGGGTTTCAACTAATATTTCCCTGCTAAACTGTGTTATTTCTTTTATTAATTCTTTATGACTTTTGGAGGAAGGTAAATTTTCTATAAGACGCCGCAAATCTTTCACGTCACTTCTTACCAACCTATATTTCCTGCCAAACCCTGGCGGCGGACTCACATGGGAGAATATATCCTGGCAGTAACTATTTTGCGTTTTATCAAATGCAACAAAGTGGCACCAAATAGAAGGATGATCTTGATTTGCCTGTAGATCTTTTATTATTTTGGCAAGTTTGAAGTGTAGTAAATCTTCATTATTTCTAGATATTGAACTTTCAGCGTCAGATAAATATGCTTTGGTATGATACGATTCATATAAATCTTTTGTAGCCACAAATATAACGTGATTAAAATGTCCAATCATTTCAATAAAGTTACTGTCAATATTTTCAGGTGTTTTGCTTAAGCTTTCCTCATGTAGTAGCTGATTGAATAGGTTCTTCGTATTTGTTGTTTTGATTCCAAATGTTGTATTTATCATTTCTTCAAACCGAGAAACCGTTGTAGCTACACCCAATGACTTCACAAATGATATGAGTAGTACCTGGTTATTGATTAGAGGTTCATGTTGAGCATCCCCCAAATCATCTGAAAGAAAAATTATACTAAGCAGTGATTAATCTATTTATATCATGCAAGTACAGCATATATATATTGAAAGTCTCGCCATTTGCTGTTTACATTTTATGCCTGCGAACCATTTACAGATTTAGACCAAGACACAAAGGAGATCATGAGTATTTCAAATTTCCATTACTAAAAGAGGGGCGAATGATACCAAAGGGACATTCAAAGTCATAAGTAGAAAATAAACTGACAACGTCATGGCCAATAAAGAAAAAGACAAACAGATAAACAATAGTACACAAAACACAACATAGAAAACTAAAGACTGAGCAACACGGACCCCACCAAAATCTGGGGGTGATCTTAGGTGCTCCGGAAGGGTAAGCAGATCCTGATCCACATGTGGCACTCGTCTAAACATTTAAGCGTTTCAACATGAGTTTGGGATACATTTCGCTACGACTTTTTCTCTCAAATCGAAAAACAACGAACAAATCCATACTTTAAAAAAACAAACAAGAAAACAACAAAGGAACGGAAAATGTTTGATGGCTCAAGTAATTGTTTTCCTTGATATGTCAACAATGAAAACTAGAAAGATTCTAATCATGGATCTTCTAGACATTTATTGGAACTATATTTTCTTGGTTTTTGGTCTTGGTATTGCTTAAACTCGGAAACATAACCGAAAAAAGCCTCGGAGTAAATGTTGCAAAACATTTGGGCATGACCAGACGTATATTGTTGTGCTTTGACTAAAAAGTTACATCTGATAATGATTATAAATTGACCTTTACTCGAACGCCTTCTTTCAATTTAATACACGTTAGTATAACATTATATGTAACTAATTGCAATGTTGAATCTTCTAACTAACTAATGACAGTCAAATATTTAACGACTAATAAAATATTTCAATTGGTAGCTTTTCGTACCTAGTTTGTTTACATCCATTTGCGCCTTATTATTGTTTTTTTTCCAAATATAAAAGGTCAGGGAAAATAAAAGTGCACTTAAAAAGCGTTATATTGCTTGCATGTAATTTTTGCCGTAAAATATACACGAAAAACGTGTTGCCCTATCTTAATGTCAGAAAAAGTGTTCATCGGCTCCCGACTATAACTGCATTTTACATAATAGAAAAACAAAAGATATGAGGTATCCATCCATGACACAAAATTAGTACATGCAGAGCAAAAAACACATTTAAACTAACTTTTACAAAGCTATTCAAAATAATACATGCTAAGATTGAGTAAAGAACGAAACTAGTAGTAAATTGGAACACTTCATAGTCTGCTACTTATTTGTATTTATTGGAGCTGTTGTTATAAATATGTACTGTAGCTTTATAATTTTTTTTTATTTCAGAAACAGTGTCGAAAGACACAATTCTAACATCAACTCGATTCAAGTTGGATAAAAATCATTTGTGGATCTAGCGCTACTTAAACCTAATAGTATTAAACACATAAAAAGCGGATCGTGTCAGTAGTTCACTAAGGGGGAAATGTAGTTTGAGTGGTTTATTCATTTTAGGTGCCTTCGAATAGTTGAAAATTTTCAACTAATTTTTGTAGCTTGCTGCTTACAGGCATAATAATTTGGAAAAGTCGCATGTGGCCGATTTGTGGCAATTATGAATTCTTTTTACTGTCTCGTTTTGAAGTCCCACATAATACCAGTGATATCGTTCCTGTTAGCACTTTGCGGTATGGACCTTTTGTGTCAGATTTTGGGTTTCATGATTTTGTCATGATTGAATTATTCTACGAGTTATTGGCAGAAATTTCAAATATTATGTCATACCTAAAACTGTCGTCATATTTTATATATTAAGAAAAACCATACGTGATAAATCAAAGAACAACAAATTCAGTTTGACTATAATTTTAATGATTTTATAATTCTGGCCTGTGTTGCACAAGAAAATGTAACTATCAAAATTGATCGTAATAACTAAGCATATTGAATTTTTCAAATATTATGATAAATTGAAGTCGAAAACATTTGTGAAACGCATGCCAGATGGTAAAACGTTCAGATGACAATACAGTCAATATATGAATATAAAATTGGCAAAATAACTTAATTAATGGTTTTCTTTAAGGGTTTAAAGGCCTGTAAGAACAACTATATATGTATCTTATTATATAACATAAAAATTACCATGATGTCTATCGTGACTATGTTTTCTCTCCCGGTGCCATAATATGAAAACTGCCACTAGAACAAACATAACAAACGTTGCGGTTATAATGCCAATAGTGTACTGCAACCATTTCATTCTTTCTTCATCTGTAAAAGTATAACAAATGTTGCATATTCAACTTCAATTTTGCTATAATAAGCATTGCGTTTTAGTTGTAAAGTTGTACCATCTTTGGTCCTTCTGTGACAACCAAATTTTTCTTGTAATTTTTAATGTATGCAATATTTATATACACCTTTGTATCAGGACTATCTACAGTGAATAATTTAGCTATGTGACAAACAAGAGTTGCAGGATGCATAATATTCATATACAAAAATGTTTATAATTCAGGTTTTCTGTAGGTTATTTTAACTATATATGTGCACGTATATGTTTCTTTTAAACATATATATAATAATATATTCATAGTACCAATAGTAATATTCTGATGATATGATGAAGCCTGAGGAGACAATCTCATCGTAGAGTTGATAGTTCTACTTTTAACACAAGATGGTGGATCACTGCTATACTGTGGACAATGATACAGTATCTACAAGAAAGAAAAAACGATAGAAAAGGGAAAAAATTTACAGAATATAAAACATATTGAAATGAGTCATTTTATCGATGTGATAGTTTTCGCATGAATTTATTGCATTGCTAAGTATCCTTTGTTCGAATTCAATAAAAAACGTTTTCATTTTTAGTTTAATTGGTGTAAAATATGCACATTAGTTTCACATTAGAAAATTTACGTGTTAAATTATTTGCTTCCTGTTGATTTTTTTTAATTTATGGTATAAAATGCGTTACGTATACAGGATTGACTGCATGTTAAATTTAAATTGAGATTTTTACATAATTAAAAATTGCTTTTAGTTGAAATGTTAGATTAGACAAACCTTTAGAGTATAAACACCAGCAGGTATTTTAGTAAAGTTGTAGTAGCAACTGTCTTTATAAAACTGAAAATAGAATAACTTAATAAAAAAAAAACAGTCAATCAGATAAAAATCGCTGTCAAAACTTGGTGTGTTATATTATAAAATGGAGAACTTATAACAACAGGGGAAAGCCTAAGTTATATGATAAGAGACAGAGAACTTATGTCAGCCAATTAAATCTAGACGGACACTAATAGGTTGCATTACTGTTTCAACAGTTTCACGACACAATATCTTGCACGTTCATATCAAACCCTCAATCAATAGCATTTTTCTATCTAAAAGACATCTGTAACTGACATGATTATAACGGATTATTTCCTTGTGCATATTTGGATAACTTTCAAAATTAGTATAATGATCTCATCTTTGCAGATTTCAGCGTTACTCATTCTTAAATTACAAACAATTTATGAATAAATATTATTAATACGTTTCTATTTTAATGTTTTTGCAAAAAACCTTGAAGATAAAATTTAATTTCTATTTTTGCAAATATGGATGTTCATTAAACTACCCCTTGTGAGCTTTGTCACGACTTTTAGCCCATCGTCCATTGTAAGCTTTTTAAAATCATCCCCTAGAAACAACTTTTACAAAAAGAATTCAAAACTGAATCGTTACATCGTATCACCATTATAGATGTGTAGTTTCAAAATTATATTCAATGTTTCTGTCGATAAACAGCAAAGGTGTGAAATCATTAAAAAAATACTTCAATTAAAAAGTTCTTATTTTGGGTCTTACATCCTACAAACGTTTTTGGGTCCTTAAAGCTCTTCAACTTCGTGGTAGACTACTGGGCTACTAGGAAACATCCACCAGCAATGGCATCGACACATTGGTTGTAAATAAACTCATCATATATACAAGGATAAAATTGTGTACGCCAGATTCGCGTTTCGTCTACAAAATACTCATCAGTGACGCTCGAATCAAAAAAGTTAAAACAGTCAAATAAAGTACGAAGTTAAAGAGTATTGAAGACCCAAAATTCCGAAGAAGTCCAGACTACTGGGATGCTGATATCTTCGGGGAGGAAACCTCAACCAGCAGTAGAATCGACCCAGTGGTTCTTAAACCACTCATCATAGATACTAGGATTATAATTGTGTAAGCTTAATGCAATCACACTTTCGGTAAATCAGCTGTCATCAAAGTAGGATGTTTAGTGTCGTTTAATATTTTCAAAAAGAAGCTTTTACCATTACAGCCGGTCTCCAATTGTCGTGGTTTTCTCTGTGATTGTAATTTCTGAATTAGGATATGCTTGGTCTCTGTCTTGATAGTTAAAAGCTTAAAATCTAAACAAAAATGACTCCTATAGCTATTAACACTAGAGATATTAGATATTACCTGCATTGTGCTTTTCTTTGGCATTTCCGATAAAAATAAGTCAAAACTTATTGATATATCTTCAGGGCAGAAATTCGAGGATTGTACTACAATGTCTGTGGAGGTTGTAATGACAGATAAATCATCTTTCCAACATTTACAGCTGTTTGTTGGACCTGTAAATATGGAATACGGTTAAGAATTTAAAACACAAATTATGTTATGATAATCGGAGAAATGTGTACTGAAAGGCTGTATATTAAAAGTGTGTCAATAAAGTATGCTAATAAAATGTGTGCCAATAATAATCACTGAAATCGAAACATACCAAAATATAATATGATGCAAATATGACTGCATGTGTATATGCCTGTACCAAACCAGGAACCTCTGGTGTCTTTGTGGGTATCGTAGTAAGTTTGTCGTTTAAAAATATTGCACTGTGTCTAAACTACATCCGCAAAACATGTTTGAATTCGATAGTATGTAATATGCAGTACTGTGACGGACCACTTAAAGAAAGATAAAAGGTAGGATTTCTGTTTACTTTTTGTTATTTGTATAAAGTTGTAGAATATAAATACACATATTACTATTTTCGATTGTAAGATGTAATATTTTCTGCAACCGTTCTAGATTATTGAAGAAATAAGTGAGAATGCACGACAAAATGATGAGTAAGAGTGACCGTTACCTCTAATTTGTTTAATTTCTCTTTCAATTTCGCTTATTGTACGGAAAGAAATCGTGTATTTACTAAACAGGCTCGATGCAGTCGCCAAACAGATATACTGGCATGGTGGATAGTTGTCTCATTGGCAATCATTCCACATCTCTTTATTTATATATAATATATCTAACATCAATCAATTACCTTCAAAACTTTTCAAAATCTAATGTTTTATTTTGACATAACACCAAGAAGTGAATAATATATGTGTGATAATATTAAAAGACAAGTACTATTTTTTTAAATGTGTATGAGTAAGAGATGTTGATTATACGTAAATAAGACAGTAACCCAACGACACACTTTATTTCTGATGAGTCGACCGAAGTCTATCGAAACAAACTTCACTGGCCATGTGTGCCTCTACTGTATTTGAGTTTTTATGTATGCCCATTTTGATCGCTTCTTCTTTTATTAGTGACTTGGTGTCCTGCTGAGGTAAAGTTTAAGTTAACCATGTACACCCTAGCTCTTATCTTTTCCAGTTTGATTACATGTACATATATATCAACAATAAATTCTAAAGAAACTAAATAAAGTAGTTCATTTTTATTTTATATAATTACCTTTATGTGTGGTAATTGTTCTCTGTATCGTTCGTTTCGACCTTTCGAATTCCGCTGACTTTCCATAGATTTCGTATTTTTCGGTATACTGTCGACACTTATCAACATTGGAAGATTTTTCCGACTTCGGGTAATTCCATTTTTTTTTACGTATCAAACTCCATACAGTGACTTGCACAAACGATGCGTTAGTAGCCTCCGGAAGATTTATGTTAGTAAGTTGGTACTCATGCCGTTTTCTTTTCCCCTTTAAAAAAGAATGAAAATGTAACTACATCAAATTTTTTAACGTACAGTTTGAACACTGAGCACTATAAACTATGCATCCCACTTCCTTCCTATACGTATTTAATTTTGAAGAAAATTCTGGCTTGTGAAATACAGACATTGTGAATAACACGTTAAGTTGCAGTTAGATCAAATACATTGATAGATTGGAGATTGCGATGATATGTTTTAACTTGGTTACTTACAATTAAACGCTTTGATTTTAATATCTTTTGAAAATATGAATCAGCTCATTTTATGGTGCATAGAATCATATATATGCTGTATATGTATTCACAAACGAAACTGCTTGTGCTCTTTGGTCACAATAGACAAACAAAAAAGGAAATGAATATAAAAGTGAAACTTTAATTGATTAAAGGCACGGACTGAGAAGTTTGTAAATCTCTTACAGAAAACAGTAAACTGACCTTAAAGAAGTTTTCTGCTACTATATATCTTGATATCAATGGTTCCAATATTTCTATTCTCAGAAGAAATCCTTTTAGTCTGATGTGTTTATCAGCTTGAACAGAAGAATATGAAGAGAAAAAAAAACTACTATACATTTTTCTACCAAAAATTCATAAAGATTAATGATATCAATTATTCAAAACTCTATTTTTCAAAGTTGTTTTCTAAATTATCATATGTTGATTTTTGGTGTAATTTTTTTGATTGTTTGTATTGAATAATGTGTTGACCAGCATATATTTCAGACATTGTTAGTTTTAGTTGGTGAAATAGAAATAACAGAATGTATGTTTAAGCAATGGACCAAGCGACAAAGTATATAACGTTTTGGCTGCTAAATATGAAAATACATAATTGCAAACTTTTATAAACCTTGTCAACCTCAGAAATAACGGAAATGAACTATACATTTTGTTATTGTTATCACATCACAAAATTCAAATATGGCAAACGACTAGTTTCCTTTGCTAAAAAAAAATCTATTAAGTAATAAATAAATCAGAATTTCATTATGACAAAAATATTTACCTGGTTTTAAGTACTGCCAGCTAACGGTTAGATGTACAGTTCCAGTGGTATTTAAATGGTACATTATTTTGACGTTTCTTACTTTAGGTGGATTATGTCCATCTGGTAAAATCTTCAAGTACTTGGTAATTTGCCGAATTGAACAATCTGAAAAAAGACATATTTTTTAGTATGAAATATAGAAAATAAAACACAAATTAGGTGAGAGACACATTAATGAATTAAATATTCGAGAATGATTATATGCAGTTATTTCCTTTGCCTAAAGCACATGTGTAGTTTTGTTAGTAAAGATTACACACAATATTGACAATGATGTCTCCGTAAAAAGCATTAAAACGTTATAAAACGCGCGAGTTAGACTCTGTTTTAGATGGAACACGATTTTGTTTTCCAAGTCGAGTGCGATAGTCTCAACCAATCAATTATTTATTAATCTATCAATAATTACATACAATGGAATGATAAATATAATGAATCTTACGCTGGTGTATTGTAGTACAATTGCATTTGTCAGTAGCATAATCACCATCCTTATGTACCTAAAATATATAATTTTAGATTTATTTTAAGATTTAATATGCGTCTCGTTCTGAAAATATAAAATAAAACGATGTAGTATGATTGACAATGAGACAACATTCAACCAAAGACCCAATGGCGTAGAAGTTAGCAACTATAGGTCACCGTACGGCCTGGTGTTACAGCACAAAATAAGAACTATAAAAATCAGTTGAAAAAGGCTTAGCTCATCAGAGCGATACAAAGCACAAAAAAACACAAAAGACACAAAGTACAGATCTGAGAGTACTCACAGTTACTGAAAGCTAGTTCAAACCCCATAACAACTAATAAAAAAATCATGTATCTAAGTTTAAGAGCTCATTCTCAAGAAAGAAAAACAAATTTGTTTTTCATTTCATAAGACTTTACTATATTTCATCGTAGTTATCCATTACAATAATTTAAAATAAGCTTTTGGGTAAAAAATAAAGAATGCTGGTAGCAAGCCTTATAGGAATTTTTTATTATGTTTGAAATCAGTTCGTTCAGCAGTTCTCGAGAAGAGTTTCTCTGATATTTTGCATGGGGTCAAACTTAAATTAAGGCACAATGTTGGTGGTGGTAATGGATGCTTGGCAAAGCTCAACTTGCCAGTACAAAATACACAGTAAAAACCTTCTTTGACAACTGGTTTCTAAACATTCAATATTTCTTTAAGACAAATTTCGCAAGTATTTTGCCATATGGAACCACAAGGAAAACTGTCATATTGCTTTTAGTTGATTACATCATCTCGCATTTCAAATTGATGGTCTTAATGTAGCTTCCTTTATTTGCATTATTAAAATAATTAATTACTTTTTTTGTGATTTGATAATATCTGAGTTTCAATGGACTGAGTACATCACACGAAGATTACTATTTACATTTTAACCAATCAGACACAAGGGTTGAAGGATGCGGACTTTGGACTGCCACTTTTAAACGTGGGTATATATGCTGGATATGAGTATAGAAATAGAAATATATAAAAATTGCCATCCCTGAACTTCTCATCCCGTCCGAAACTAAATCCAATACCTTATGTAGGGAGTATGCCACGCTCTCTGCACACTGAAAAACCGTATAACAACTCTTGTTGGTCCGTAGGTGGCCTGTTTCAATGCAAAATTTCTGCTCCTTTCTAGCATACCCTTATTTATAAGTGCCAGTCCCAAGTTTTCCGTCCGTCCTCCCGGTCGACTTATCTATTGTAATAATTGTTATCTTGATTTCGTCCTAAATATGCATGAAATATTTGCCGTTAGACGTTAAATATCCATCGAACTATTAACCGATAAAAAAAAATCTTTTAACTATATTTGTCATTTAATCCTCAAAACATTTATATCGAGCATGCTTATACTGATGAAAAAATAAATTGTTGAAAAGAATAAGAATCACAAAACTCGCCATTTCTTGTTATTTTTAAAAGGAATACATAAAAAAAGAATTTTAAGACAGCCTTTTGAAAGGACGAGGAACTGACAAAATGCATGAAATTCGTCCTGAATAAGTAACGTTTTCAAAGGAAGTGATTTTAAACAGTTTTCCATGTAATCATAAGTATCTAATTTGAAAAGGTTACTTCCTCTATCTATTTCAGTATCGTCCTGAATACTCATGAAATATTAGTAGCTGGACGATAAGAACAAAACAATCAAATCAAACCTGTTTCTGTCTAAATATTTGCGGTTAACAACGAAACATGTCAACCCACAATCGCCGATCTAATATCATGCATATCAATGTCAAGAAATATTTTGTGAAAAAACTAAACATGTTCCGCATGCATGTTTTTTTTTGGATAAATTGTTTATTTTTAAAATGTATGTCTTCGAACAACAGGAATTTGGAATAGCTATGATTTTTCTTTGTTTTATTACATAAAGATTATGCTAAAATAGCGTCCCAAACATTCTTTTCACTTAAAATGTGTACTTATATTTACGATACCTTTAAATTAAAGATAAAAATAACACAACTATTGCTGTACTTCTAAAATTGAAACAATTTTCATTAGAATTATGTTAGATTGAAAGAATTCCTATTAATTGCCTTTTTAAATTTTTTTTAGGTAGATTCGCTATTTGTCTTTCATAAAATGATATCTAAGGCCACACTGATTGAAAGGTATAAAAGGAAAGTACCGTCAGAGAACTACACGACTTGGACTTTAAGTACATTGAGTCTAAATTGGTTTGCTTTATATCACGGAATAGCCGTTTTCCCCTTAATTTGAAACATGTCTTACTAATGATTAACAATTTGTCGTAGTGTATTTCCAAGTCTACGAGAGTATTTCAAATTAAAATTTAATTACGGCCTTTAAAGCTGGACTGTATAGTAGACAAGGAGCACATTAATACATTTTACTTTCCAGATAAGCTTACTGTTATCTTAACCATAAGAGTTACACTGATATTCTACATGCGTGTCTTCTTCCTTTAATGGGCTTCGTAAGTGAACAGTTGTAAGATTAGATTTCTAACCCTACCCATTATGCTATTATTTTCCAGTAATTGTCAAAATTATCTGTCTTATTTTCATTTTCATTTTCATTTGAGATGTGTGCATGGATATTTGTTCTCTTATTGAATATCCACGAACTATTTGCCACTAGCAGGCCTAAGAAACCAACAATCATTTAAGTAATCAAATGTAGTTTAGTAGACGTTTGGTTTAGCTGTTAGGGGTATATAAATACGCAGAAACAAATTCATTTAACAGTTCCATTAATGAGCACATCCCTTGGTAATTTAAAGAAACATCACAAGCTTGTTAGTTAAACTGGCCTATCTTTCGTATTGTTGCTTTATTCTTCTAGGTAAGTTGTCTGTTGTTGCATGTTCTATATTGACAAATGTTTTCAGTGTTTAATCGTTTTAAAGTAATCTTATACATTTCAAAGGAGGATAAGTTACATAAGATGGTTCCTTCAAGAATAAAATGATATAATTTGTACTTTTTAGTACATACATGCCTTTTGTGATATTACTGGCGTCATAGATATGTTGAAATTGGCATGATTATCTTTAATGGTAATTTTAGAAAGATTAAATCTGAGCCAATGCATCTATTAAAAGTTACCCAAAGACATTTCATCCACATGAGCATATTTTTATAATACATCGTGTAATACCTTAAAAGTCTGAAGCCCTAATGCAAATGTTTAAGGCAAACTTTAAAAAAACATTATTGCCTTGTGAATATCTGAAGGTGTTATTTGAAAGATATATCAATTAATCTTTTCATTTTTGAATTGTAAAATATATGAAAAAAAAAACACATTTGAATACTCGTCACTGAATCCGCAAATAAGGACCAAACAAAATCCGTCTAGGAGGTCAACATACATTGTACGGTCTTCATCAATTGAAAGATGTCTAAACAATATGGTAAGTTATAATTACTCGTCCATGGTCGGCACATTAACCTTGATATTCAAGTCCTATCCCTGCTTTATCTCGGTGACTGTACTAAGTATATAGCATTCAATAATTATCAGAAGGTACATGTAATAAAGGGCACTTACTTTAAAACATGTTTAACTAGATAATAAAATGCCATATTTGACACTTTCTTTTTTCTGCTACGTTCAAAACGTTTTTCGTGAATAACCTTTATTAGGAAAGCTCTAACCAGAAAAATGAAAGTCAAAGGTTATATAAACATTTGAATATTTGAGGATGTATACGACTAAAAGAAACCTGGAAAAAATAGCCAAATCGACCATAGTTCGACATTGTCTGAGGAAGTTTCTTATAATTTCTAAATTTATCAACTAAGAATTTAAGAAATGTGTGTTATAAATTATGTCGGTAACGAAGCACTGATTACTGACATGATTATACACTAGGGGGAGTAGCACTCCACCAGCAGAGGACCTAGTGTAAAAATAATGAAAATAAGACTTTATAAATTTGGAGCATCTGGAGCGCTTTCTGGGTTTATCTTTATATACGGAACACTCAAAGCCATATCAATACTTGAATACGTGTGGGCCAACATGACCAAAAATGGATTTCATAAAAGTCGAATATAGAATGTTATTAAGTCAAACCATATAACAAGTTTTATCTATATATATATGCCAAGAACATCACAGTTTTTGCCATCTCAAAATTGTCGATTTTACATATCTTATTACTTTTAATCTAAATCTAAAAAAAAGTTAGCATAGCTATAAATACATTTAATAAAAGATTGAAGTCTTTCGATAATCTTTAGTTTCATAAGAACAAAGTCATATGTTATGATTAAAGGAAATAAAGTCAAACCGCAAAGAGGTATTTAATGATAAAAAGTCAGTAACCGTAAAAGGAATGATAAAATAATGCGGAAACATGATGTTTTAATTACTGCAGTTATCACGACACGCTGGTTATAATCAAAAACGTGTTATTTGTAATTAAGGAACATATATTGACCACATGTTTCAGTTTCATTTCTGTTTACTATTAAACTTATGACCATTTCACCCTTTCCGCTTCCTTTACCGAGAAAAAATTTGTCTCGTTTATTAATATTATATTAGGAAGTGTATAAGTGCACATATTCGTTTGTTAAATTACGTCCGTTTCTCATTTTAACGCCAATTGTGTGATTTCTGAAAGAGTCAGATAATAAACATACTTATTATTAGTTATTAAGCAATTTGTTGTATGATGTACAACATAGGAACTTGATATTATATTCACTTTTCTGGATGATTTAACTGGCTCATATTTGAATAATGTCATGATATCTTCTAGTAAAGTATGTAAGTCAAAAAGAATTCGACAATGAATAGATATGAATCAAGAAACGTAACCAAACTATAGAAGCCGGCTTAAATATATTACAAATCTTCAAGAGATGCAATATTAATGGTGAATCATCATGCTACCCAATAATCTCTTGGTTAATGGGTTTTATACAAAGATTTCTATAATTGGTTTTATGTAAAATAAAACCTTACTTATTGAAATATGATTATATTTAGTAAGCAGTATCAACAAAAGAAAGGACAAAAAATTAACTTTCTTTCAATCTGACAATTTCAATTTTGACATTTAACGTCTCAGTCGAGCTCTAAATTGTACATGTACTTCTTCCTATCGACATTTAGAATAATGAGCAAGTAATCTAATCTGCATCGCTTTGATCTTAAAATTCAGCAAAGATTTCTCTGGATAGCATGTTTGGGTTCATTCCTCCTATTCCCACTTTTATAAATCTGGTAGGAAAAGTTAAAATTTCATGTGGGAATAGGGGGAAATCTTGTGGAAACAAAGGATTATACTGTATAAACATGGTTTAATCTACTTTTAACTGACAAGTGTTTTTTTTTTGTATGTGTATGAATTCTGTGTTTTTAATTAAAATCAAAATGAAAGAAATGGAAACAAATATAGGTTATTTATTTTATTTCTTTTATAACACAAATTCAACAGTAGATTCAAGCAAGCATTATGATATACTAGTCAACAAAAGAAACGATACAAGGCAATGTATTTTCCATGTATAATGAAATGGGATACACTGTACCAAGGTTAATAATTGCCCAATCGGTCTAATATTTACAGAGTGTTATTTTTTTATCAAAACCATTGATTTAAGGCAAAAAACGCGATTTTTTTTTTTTTTTTGGCAATTTTGTTATTTTAAAAATCGTATTTTCACCCAAAAATTCGAAAATTGATATTAGAACTTACTTAAACATGGTCTGCTAGAAATTTTGAATGCCTTTGCAGATATTTGAATACTTAATTCTCATCTTCGAAATTAAGTGCCGACTTTTGTCATCATTTTCCGCAAAATAAATTTGACCCCTGTGTTAAATAACACGGTATTTTCTCACTTTCCAATTTGGTCAGATTTTTTCAATCATATGTATTTGCTTTGCAAATGAATGTTTTTCATTGGATAATTTAACAGTTTTAACATATTTTATGATACATAAGAGTTCAAACTTGTGTATCGTTTCTTTTGTTGAAAAGTATATGAAACAAACAATACAAGTTAACCGCACTATACAAATCACACATTGTAGCACACACATAAGAAATTCACTGTATATAAGTCTATCAAAGTTTACTAACCTATTCAACGTGAAAAAGGTGGGAGGCTGCATCATGTACGTTTTTGGGCCACAATCTTTCTACCGGCTGCATATTGGATCATGGTCAGGGCGTTGAAAGCTTCTTCATGTTTCAGTAGTTTTATGAGTTTAAAGATGTTTGGACGTGGGTGCTGGACATGTTTCTTCAGCTTGCTGTGCCATCCATCTAGATGATTTGTAGTCCTCGGTCCCTGTGTTGTGTAATGGTTCCAAAGATGACTGTTCTGTTCGACCCAGTATGTTGTTACATACTCTGTGAAGGGCGTGTAGTTGATGTTAGTATCAATCTGATCTATGTCGATAAAGGCATTAAACCACACATCATCGATCTCAGCAGTAGGTACAAGTAGAAAGACAGCGGCACGGCGTACTAGCTGGTGAATGTTGTTGTCTTCCTTGTATGGAACCTGAATCCCTTGTGCTTTTCTCCAGGTGCATTGTGTGTAGTGAAAAAACGGCCTGTTGCGTTGGTGCCAGGAAATACTAGTTCGCTCTTGGCTGGAAGTAAACTGTGTACCAGTGGATACATTGCGCCGTCAACCATTGCGTGAAATGTGTAAAGTTTTAAGAATTAGCTCGGACAGGAGTAAAATGTACCATCAGCATATATGATATCTGCAGCTGCTAAGTGTGTTAGATTCTTTTGAGTACTGAAAATTAACATACGCCCAACTGTTTTTGACGTCTGTTAGCAGGAATGGGTCATCTTTGGTAGTACGTGCGCAAATACCATAAATGTTGATTTTTGGAAAAACTGGTAGGTTCCTCTCGGTACGTCTAAAAACCGCTCAGGACCTCCTGAGTGCGCTCAGGACAAAAAAGTGCACTCAGGACATGTAATAGCTGTTTTAGTGAGCGTTGAGGGTATACATTCGTTAGATAATTTAATTTTTGATCTTATAATTTTTGTCTAAATAAAATCAATTCAATATTTAAGAAGTTATTGAAGTTTTTATCGGCACGCGCCGTTTTCCTGGGATATGTCATGCATGACCGATGATTATATTGAATACTAATTATCATGTTGGTTAGGTCCTTTGATCTTCAATACTTAGGAGTGACTAGTGATGGTAATAAACACATACAAGTAAGCTTGGCAAACAAACAAATAAAGGTTTCCTTGGAAAAATAAATATAATAAAGATTTATTGCTTTAGTAAAAATGTTAAATAAACTTTTCATTTTGTGTGTAATAATTGAAGCCAGTTGAAAAATTTAAGAAATCTACATATATGTCTTGTCTTGTCTATAGTCGGGAAATTTTCCATTCAATTAATTTCATTTGAAAACGTTATAAAACGTGGCGTCCTTTGGGAAAAAAAACCCTGTTTCAACTACGAGGAAAGTCCTATAATATAAGACTTCGTATATAGGTGTGGTTCAGCATTGATAGTAATAAAAAAACGGATAATGCATCAATAGAGCGCCTAATACATTAAAAAATAATTACCGAAATATATGTATATAAACATGTGTTTGTTTTGTTCTAATTTCTTGTTATTAAGATCCATTTAAATAAATAATATGTTTTGACGTTTGAAAGTGTATCCACATATTTACAAGACACTGTCGTTTGGCGTTTTCATTTTAGTTCTCATTAAAATCGTTCTTGTCCAGTATTACAAGCCTGAACGAATTTCAATGTGAAAATAAATTCTGAAAAATGAATTTGTCTCCGTTTTTCTGTCAGTTTTCTGTCCCGATCAAGACCCCCTTTCACAAACGGGCTAAATTAATGCTAGCGTACATTGAACTCCCGTCATTTATCATATTTGGTTATTTTTTCTTAACAATTTAAAGTAGTAAGATTTGGTTTTACATCGAGCTCATGGGAAATTATGAACATCAATGTTGGTTTTTGCAAGACTCAAGAACAGCTAGAAAGACTATTTCGCAGATACAGAGTTATAGACCCCAGACTCTCACTACTGAAAGACAGATACCAACAAGGAATCATCAACATGATAGACTACTCTGACGCAGCATCATATCTTCCTCATTTGAACTGAATGACTTTGTGAAATATTGTTATTTGTGACTTTGTGAATATAATGTTTTGTGACTTTTTGAAATATATATACAAGAGTGCACACGCTGAAATGTCTCGCCTTCTATGCTGATGATTGATTTTATGTTGATAGTCCTACATATAAAGTTTTACTACAAGTATCACATAACATTTATGATCCAAGAAAATGAGGTCAAGGTCAGATAAACAAAGCCGGAAATATATGTACACCTTTGATACAATCATTCCATACACAGAATATAAATGACCTATTGCTTATAGTATAAAAGAAACAGACCAAATAATGGAAATTCTATACTGACCAATGAACCATTAAAATGAAGTCAAGGTCAGATGAACCCTGCCAGAAATACATGTACACCTTAAAATCATGCCATGCATCAAATATAGTTGACCTATTACTTAAAGTATCTAAGAAACAAAGTTAACCAGGAAAACTGAACATTGACCAATCAACCATGAAAATGAGGTGAAGGTCAGATGATACCTGCCAGACAGACATATACACCTTACAATCATTCCATACAACAAATATAGTTGACCTATAATTGCTTAAAGTTTAAGAAAAACAGACCAAAACACTAAAACTTTACATTGAGCAATGAACCGTCAGAATTAGGTCAAGGTCAAATAAAACCTGCCAGATTGACATATACATCGTAAATTATTTCAATACACCAAATAAAGTTGACCTCCTGCATACAGTATTAGAAAAACAGACCAAAACACAAAAACTTAACATTGAGCAATGAACCATGAAAATGAGGTCAAGGTCAAATAAAACCTGCCAGACTGACATGTACACCTTGCAATCATTACATACACCAAATATAGTAGACCTATTGCTTATAGTATCCGAGATATGGACTTGACCACGAAAACTTAACTTTGTTCACTGATCCATGAAATGAGGTCGAGGTCAAGTGAAAACTGTCTGACAGGCATGAAGACCTTGCAAGGTACACACATACCAAATATAGTTATCCTATTACTCATAGTAAGAGAGAAATTAACATTACAAAAAATCTGAACTTTTTTTTCAAGTAGTCACTGAACAATGAAAATGAGGTCAAAGACAATGGGCATATGACAGACTGAAACTTCATATCACAAGGCATCTATATACAAAGTATGAAGAATCCAGGTCTTCTACCTTCTGAAATATTAAGTTTTAAGGAGTTAGTTAACGCCGCCGCCGCCGCCGGATCACTATCCCTATGTCGAGCTTTCTGCGACAAAAGTCGCAGGCTCGACAAAAACGTTGTATTTTTCATCATACGTATAGTGCCCAATATTACTAACGTTTACTGTAGTGCTTTATTTATTTCCTTATGCAATGCATGTATAGATTTTATTCAAAAATGATATAAATTGTGTTTGCAACATAGAAAACTTTATCACATATTGTTGACATGTATTTATATCATAATCATTTAGTAACTGATGAATTATTAAGACACTTTTATAAATGAATGCCGTTGTATCGTCATTAGTTGCATGTTAAACAGTTCGACTGAATTAAAAGTATTGAGAAAAAAAATTTTGATTTATTTATTATTTATCTTTACAAATAAAAATGAAACTACAAAATGAAAAATACCTGAATATGTAGAAAACACAAATAAACTATATACATATAAAGTTGGAACAGACTATACAATTCTATGCTCATTAAACCTTTTGTCTTTTTTGTTTTGTTTTTTTTATAATTATATAGATAATTGGTATAATTAAATGTGGACAAACCAGGAGTAAACTGTTATTGTTATACATATATGCACATTCATTATACATATATGCACATTCACGGTACTACAATCTGTCGATACCTATATTTTGCCATTGCACATGGTCATGTTTTTCTCTGACTGGTAATGACCTCTTTACACTTAATCCATTGGATTTTATTTGAAATTATTGACAACGATTAAAATAATGCATGTACTAGTGTTTGTAGGTGCAATCCTTAAGGGTTAAATGTTGACTTTCCATGACATAAATAGAGCGTTATTTTATTTTGTATTTTCCAGTTTCGTAATAAAATTCTTGGAATCTGTAAGTGATAGTAGGAACAGCATACGATGTCTGACTGTAATCAAATATGAAACACAAATATGGAATAGTGATACGTTTTAATAAATCAGACAAAGAAATCTTTCAAAAACTGTCAAGTAAATTCCAATACACGGAAAAAGAAAATAGGTAATACAAACACACGTAGAGGGAAAACTTCAAAGTAAAAACACAATATTGGTATAAAACCAGTATTGGACTAATAGATTGTGGTCAGACGCGAGTGTTAATAATAAAAAGAAAATAAACACATGAATATTTTAAAATCAAAATGTTATTCTATCTACCGAAACAAACAATCAAAATATGATTTGGTGCAAAAAATAGAGTTTATGCAAAAGCAAACCATATTTCATTTCAGTCCATTAATGCATGTTATCTTCATAATTTGGATAGAGTCGTTGGTTAATTAGAAGAACCAAAACCTAAATAAGGCCGTTAATTTTCTCGTTTGAATTGTTCTACATTTATCATTTCGGGGCCTTTTATAGCTTGCTATGCGGTATAGGGTTGTTTTTTTTTTTTGCATTGAATTCTCTGCTTTCTGTCATTATAATGAGATGGATATTACTACTTCCATTTATCTTTATGCAATTCCGCATTTTGACACAAAAATCGTTTTTCATGTGCTAAATACCAACAGAAATTGCTCATCATGTGAATTTGAAAAGGAATGACATATCAAGAAGATGTGGTATGATTGCCAATGAAACAACTCTCAACCAGAGACCAAATGACTAAGAAGGTACCAACTATAGGTCATCGTACGGCCTTCAATAATGAGCAAAACTCATACCGCATAGCAAGCTGTAAAAGGCTCCGAAATGACTAATGTAAATCAATTCAAACGCCAAAAATAACGGCCTGATTTATGAACAAAACAATAAACAAAAATTAAATATGATAAACAGCAACAAACGACAACTACTGAATGGTATGCTCCTGCCTTGGGACAGGCAAATAAACAATGTGGCGAGTTAAAAACGGTTATGGGCGCGCCAACCATCTTCTTTAGTGCTTAGAATAAGCATGCATAGAATTATAACGCCATTCATACCTTTTAAAGCCCATTTTAAAAAAAGACATTTAGAAAGACTACAATCGGTTTTTGACGTATTTATCGTTTTTGGTATATTGTATTTGATATTTGCATTGTTTTATATTTATTATTCGTTTGCTTGTAAGTTTGATGTAAAACACCACCTTTAGGGACCTTGAACATTTTTATCTAGACTTATTTTCACTTTGTTTTTTCTTGATGTGCATGTTTTTGTTGAATTTTCAAGTCTTTATATTGCTACATTCAAGTACTGATTGCTTAAGCAAATTTTGAGATCAGTGCCCTGTCTGTGTCATCGTTTGAATAGCCCAAACTGACATGACAAAGTAATTGTGTATGCTTCATAAAAGGGATGACTACAAACAATAAACAAATAAGAGTTTAGGGAAATATCTCTTCATTTTACAAATTATTTTATTGTAGAAATATTACGATGAAAAATAGCCACCTTTCAAATCTTTAGTGTTAACTATGTCTTTTAAGCTACATCGCAACCGCAAAGTTAGCGTCTATAATTTCGAACAATAATGACCTTGTGTAAATGTTTAAGGCTTTGGTATTGATAAGATATTTTTCACGGTGGGGAAAACCATATTGAATGTAGTCACTTTGTTAACAACGTTGTCAACAATATTGAAAACGTATAATAAATTAGTTGTACGTGTAAACCCTAGCGGGCAATAGTCTAGCCTCAGTATGGGTAAACTATAAATCGTTTGAATGTAGGTGTCGTTAGGTTGCTGTTTCATTGACATTTACCCTAAATCTTATTTTATTACCTCACTCAACTTTGATCCGTAAATTTACCAAAGTTCACTTGCTTTGTAGTGTGTAGCCCTTTATTGTCCTTCGTGGAAAAACTCGGTATACATGTCATCCGTGGAAAAGGAAGTAAATAAGTAAAAATAAAATGCGTAATTACTTGTTTAGGAAGAAATACAAATGGGATTTTTACAAAGTCAATCATGGGGAAAGATCATATTTTATGGTATACCAGATATACATGTATTCGAGGTTTCATTTAAACCTCTTCTCAAAAGGACTTTAATAAAGACTTCGAATGTAACAGTTTTACTATATAGTTGCTTACATCCTCGCCATTTGGTCTTTAGTTGACAGATGTCTCATTGGCAATCATAATTTTTATCACATCTCCTTATCTGTTGCAATAAGATGTCAGATTACTTATCGGTGCATTTGTGATAGTTACGAGGATCTTATTTTTTTATTGGAAAAAAATAATAAAAAAATAAGAAGATACCAAGGGACCAATCAATCAAAAATCATAAGACCAAGACTGCAGACACCACCACGGACAAAAAAAAAAGTTGTGCCATGAACGCACGATGCATCAATACATGTATCCCCTATTTCAAAAACAAAAGAACAAATTGAAAATATAAGAAATTAAAAAGGGGCAGCATTTACTGGTTTTAAGATTTTAAACAATACTACTTTTTTGCGAAAAAATCTGTTCTTTGCGCCAAAAACATACAATTTTTCAATAATTTGACAAACATGTCCCACAGATCTTGAACGAAAACATCATTTAACGGAATATAAACATCACCTTCATAGAATTAAATTATGTACAATAATTTGAATAAGATCTAAAGATATGGAAAACATCTGATAAACCTATCTTGCCATAGGTTATCCAAAATCCATAAGTTCAACCAATAGAAATTGTACAAAAATGGTACATTGTCATGCTTATCTTGATTATTACAATGTTTTAAAACATACTCACCCATTCTTGTCCAATGGAATCAATATTTTCCCCTCTATTTTTCATAGTACATGGCTTTCCATGCACTATACAATTCTACACATGAATGACTTTTCATTGTAGATTAATTATGAAAGTGAACTCTTAAATTTTGCACTAACGGAGTGTATAACCCCATAAGACAATGTTCACGGGAAAAGAGCAAAAGAAAAAAATCGTCAGTACTGTTGTTTGTCTAATTACCCGGTATTATAAATGAAATCACGAGAATAGAACTACAAAAGAATTATAAAATTAAGTTGAGATTTCAACATTGTAAATGTTATTTAATGGTACATATATAGACCCCCCAAAAAAAAATGAAAAGGGGGCAAAAGTTAGGTAAAATACATGTAACATTTAATCTAATTTTCATACCAGCCCTCAAACTCCTTTTTTTAAGAAACAATATGTTTATGAAGTTTATGAAGTTCTTGAAAAAAAACCAATATATTCGTTAATAAAAAAAGCAAGCATCTGATGTTAAAACGATTGTAAATTAAAATCTGTTTGATGAAGTTTTTTCCTTATTAAAAATTATACAATTTTAGAAAACCTGATTTGTATAACATTTGGTGCTTTTTAAAATGAAGGAATTTTAGATATATAAGATTAAATTGTACCTGAAGCAGAAGAAATTTCCATTTTGATTACTTTATCCTTTTTGTTATCACAACACTAACTCATTGTTCTATCATTCCTTCTGTTGAATGACCATTTAATTTAGATTATTCACAACCCTTTAACAAAACATGTTAACACTTAAAGTGAGCCAATATCAAAGTTTGATTATTACGATGAGAGGCTAATTTTTTTTATGTCAGTCGAACGTGTGAATATGTTCTAAATTGGTCAGACAATACTTGGTCATGTTTTATGAACATTTAAAACCCTTGGCTACGCCTCTGTCTTTAAATATTCATAAAACATGACCAAGTATTATCTAACCTATAGGAAGAATAATTAAGTCAATACGTGAAAAGTTACTCGTGGTTTAAGTCAAGTTCAAGTAATATAACCGAGACAACATGTCAGCAGAGCTCACCACCTCCAATTCATATAGATAAGACAAAGTCCGGGTTTTTACTTTGGAAAACCTAAATAATCCTTCGGATCAAAATTAAGATAGGCGATGCATAAAATTGTTTGATACTGAACATTTTCTAAAAGTTCCATTGCATAAAAGTCACTAGATTATGGTAGTTAAAAATAACAATATATGCAGATGAACAAACGGGTCAAATGATTACTACAAAACAAAAGTATGTACCCAGCTCCACCGAGCTGGGGATAAAAGAAAGAAATAACCTTATTGCATACACGTAGAGGATTAAATTTTCTATTTATACTTTAAATCAATACCTGTATCACTGACAAGTTCTATTGTAAACAAACAACATCACACCTGGACAGGTGAACATTGATAAAAATTAAATCATAAATTTAAAGATGATCTTTTGAAGTTATTTAAACATTATTATAAATCTTACTTTAACTTTGCAAACTGGATGATCCGACGGATTGCAAATGACAGAAGCAGTCCACATTATCACTATGAAGAGTTCCTGGCAGATGAACATGTCGAATGATAGCCATTCTGGGGGTTTCCATTCGGTTTTTATACCCTAAATAATTTCCTGATAATGTTTAGTAATTATTTCCTTAGTTGGTAATTATCTTTTTTGTCCTTTTGATATTAAAACAAACGTGTGATAGTAGTATAAAACTTTGGTACTCGTCCGATGCAGATAGACCTATGCAGAGGGGGCATACGTTTTGCGTTTTGGGGTGTAAAGATACGCGTGTACATCTAATCGAAATAAGGACGTTAAATATGAGAGTTCTATACGCACATCAAACGTAAATCAACAATACAACT